CCAGTCTATTCGTGGGGAGCAGCACGTGCTGGGAACCGGGCCCAGCGTCCCATATGAACATACATCAGTTTGTAACACCGGGGCCATTATCTGGCTTCGGCTGAAAAAAACCTGAGAATAGAAAATTCTAATGCTGATGATACTAATGATGCCAGTGATGACAAAAAATGTAGCTACACATGTTGAGTCAGCCATACTGGACTCCTAATCCTGAACAACACCAAGCCCTCCCTTACCAGGATATTGCAACTCTAGAACAAGACAAAACCCTAAGTTAAACATGTATGTGTAATATTTGTGTGATATGTGTGATGATTTGTGATCTTGTGAATTTCAATGTCTAAACACGAAACCCTAACTATGATGTGCTGTGATGTGAATTGTCCTTATCAATCAAAACAATATGAGAGATATGATATGTATGTAAGCGGGGGCATTGCTTACTTCCCCACGCAAGGGAAGGATTGACCACCCGCAATGTATATCCTAACCAGCCCCCCTCAGCACTCCATTGTTGATTGGTATTGCGGGCCGGACAACACCAATCAACATCAATTGGCAATACACTCAACAACAATCATCCCACTCCTATCCTCAACCAGACGACGAGGTTAAAAGGGGGAAGGGAGGGGGAGATGGCAAACCTCATATCCACATCAATCCCAATCCCCTCCACTTCAGCATGCGGCATCACACCCGTCGTGCTAAGGCTTTCAGCCCCGCTGCTGCCGTGGTCATCGCTGCCTCCGTCGTCAACACTATCGGCATCATCGCTGTTGTTGTTGATGTCATCCCCAACCCCGCTCTCAACCCTGCTGCTGCCGCTGTCGTGAATGTTATGGTTGTTGTTGTTGCTGCTGCTGCCGTGATCGTTGCCGCCACCATCGTTGTCACGACCACCATCATCATTATTGTTGTTGTAATTGTTGTTGTTGTTGTTGTTGCCACCCCCTGCATCGCCGCAGTTGTTGTTGATGTTGTTGATGTTGTTGTTGTAGTCGTCGTTGTTGTTGTTGTTGTTGTTGTTGTTGTTGTTGCTGCTGCTTCTGTTGCTATCGCCAGTGTCATCGCCGCATTTATCTCCGCTGGCATCCACTCCGCCCTCGCCCTTATCACCCATCTCGTGCTCCAACTGATTGCGAAGATTGCGGCCCTTTATAAAGAGGGCTTTACACACATCCATCCCATCATCCGCCCGCCTACAGTAGACTTGTGATTGTAGCAGAAACAGTAAAGGTAAACCCTTAAACCCTTAAACCCTAGTGACAGTCCTAATTGTGGAGCTGATGTGGGGTGGCATCACCACCCCTTGTCCCCTCTCTCCCAAGAACTCATAATGTCTTGTGCAGTGTAGTGACCACGTGAGTGAATTATGTAATTATAAAACTGATGTGGGGTGGCTTCCGCCACCCCTTGTTCCCACCCTCCCAAAACCCACGATACATGTTACTATCTAGGGCTCATCCTAGCATGCTCAACCACATATCTCATTAAGGTATCATTGTACTATCATTATTGTCATTATTAACATTATTGTATCATTATTGTGCATTTGTGTTTTTATGTAGTTGTGTGTTTGTGTGTTTGTAACGCTGTGTTCTGTATGATCTATATGATATGTAGTACGTGAGTCAATGCGGTAAGAGGGTTCTGTCCATTGTGTGTACTGAGTCTGTGGCAGTGTGTGACAGTGATTATACTCTGGCGCTTATGTTTCATGGCTGTTTAGCATGATGTAATATGATGAAGTATGATGAAGTATGATGAAGTATGATGTATGTGATGTATATGATGTCAATGATGATTATTATGAATATGATGTTTATGATGTGAAGTGTAATTGTGAATGTATTAAGTGAGTGGTGAGAGTAGTGAGAGTAGTACTCTATTCTGAATCTATTTTGAATCAGTTTTGGATCTATAGTAGATCTGTATCCTGGCTTTCCTCAGTGCTTATCAGGTACAAGCAGCAACAGGCCCCACCTTCTGTCTAAGATCTTCTACTTCCCTCCTTCCACCCACTTTATCTATTCCTGATTCTAAATAATGGACTCGGCGTTTCCATATGCAGTGGACAGTCCGTGGTGCTCTCCCTCCCGTTAGTCGTCCTAACCTCAAAATCTTAAACCCTCAAAGCCTCTACAGCCCTAGACCCTTGGTCCTCCTCCACTCCTTTTCGCCCCCCTTATTGTTCCATTGTTGTTCCTCCGAATACCCTGACATTGCCAAACATTTTTTCCCTAGGTGAGATTCCACACTTGGCCGACAGAGAAGGGAGGGGGGGGGGGGGAAAAATGGGGGGGGGGGGGGGGGGGGGGGGGGGGGGGGGGGGGGGGAAGAAAGAGAAAGCTGGGGGAAGGGGAGTGGAAGTTGGATGTCTCTAGTATCAGGGTTCAGGTTTTTCTTAGTCATAAAGTAGACTAAGTGTGAAGTTAGGTATTTGAAAGGGGATGGTAAAGTTTTGGATCGGTTGCCTAATCCATTACGCTTCAGTAGTTAGCCACGGTTTCCATCTTAATTGATTACTCTAATCAAATTCGCGTAGTTTTCGATTTGCATCTATCCAAAGGGCTCGAAAGTTCTCCAAAAGATCATTCATTTTGGTGAGGTCTGATTCTATGATCATCATGAGTTTGAGTTCTGTCCATGCTGCGTGCGTGTTTACACTTATGGTCTGCACTATTGAGGCCTTGGCCTCCATGAACCCAAACGTATGTTGTTTGAATTCGTGTGCGCATCTCATACGCCAAGCTGCCATGAGCATTGGCAGCCGGGTGATATTGAAAAGATTGGTCATAAAGGGAGACCATTGGTGTGCACTTGGTGAGATCTCCCCCAGCAAGATTGTCTTTAGGTCCCACAGGATATGTGTGTCTGTTAGGTGGTGCCATGCTGAGTCCCACCATCTCCACATTTGGGCTACTATCTGGCAATCAAGAAGACAATGTTCCAATGTCGCCCTTTTCTTGGGAAAAGCATTTCCACAGTAAGTGCATATGAGGAAAACTAGCCCCGTTGTTCCAGATTAGTTCTTGTTGTCAGCCAATTGGGTGTCGGTAGGCATCTGTGAATAATCTGCCACTGCAGGGCTCTAAGGTTTGTGGGTTGTATTCGTGAGTAGGCTGTCCCCCTTATATTTTGCAGATCTTCTTTTTTCAAAGGCAAATCTTTATCCCATCTGGCCTTAATGGGGTCCAATATCTGTACCTTTTTGCGTGACTGTCTATAGCCCTCTTTAACTGTGTATTGCCAGATTGGAAACTTAGTCTTTCTTGCCATGGACCATTCCCATTCCTGACGGTTGAAAGACAGTTGGGCAAGAGGAATAGTTGACTCATAAGCGAAAGACCCCTTATCCCCTTCCTTGAAGCACTCGAACTTTGATAAGATCGTTCTAGGGTCTGTGGTGGTCTAGTTCGTCATATCGAGTTAATTTGGATCATCTTTCTCCTGGTAAGTGGGGTCTGTGTGCATGCAGTGAAACATGATGAGTAAGTACTGATTCCACCTTGTAGATTGTCATGGGGAGTGACCAGTCCTCTTTTGGGATTACCCAGTCTCCTTGTTTTATCGTCGGTCCATGCTTGAGTTCCCGAGTTTTCAAAAATTTCTTAAAAATTCTTTAAAAAACTATTCGGTAAGCAGGAAGGGGTGGTGTTTGGGCAGAGAAAGATTGGTGTTCAGGGTGGTAGGTCTATTAGAAGGGCAGGTGGGGTGACAATGGCCGGTGCTGGAGCAGTTGCTTTGTAACCAGGGGAGCTTGAGACAATTGGAGCTATGCCGAGGGTGGAAGGCATAACCATCTTGTTCAACGTAGCTGAGGTCGGGGCAGTGACCCTGTAACTTTGGGGGTTGTGTAGTTAAGGGAGTTGTCGAGGGAGGAAGACACTTCCTGTTCGTCAGAACTAGTTCGGTCTGTTGTCCTGTCACCCTAGCAAGGGGGGTATGAGATCTAGAGAGTTCTGGTACGAGGATTGAATTCCTGGGCAGTAGTCCTTCCTCTGCAGAGTGGGGAAGGAGCTGGATCGTTGAGGATTTCGTTTTTCTGTCGTGCCGGGTAATGATCCTGGTATCTCACAGAATGTTTATGTAGTGATCTGCCTATGATAAGGGAGATTGTGGATAGAATGTCAGGAGGGAAGGAGGAGGTGAGGGCTGGAAGATGGGAGGAAGCAAGTGGGTTCAACATGAGAAGGGACGTCTGTCTAAGTAATTAGGTCAGAAGGACAAAGTTGAGACGACGCAGACCGGTGTTGGAGCTTTTGCTCTGTAACCTGGGTGAGCCAGAGGTCTGTGGAGTTATGTCGAGGGAGGAAGGCATAACCAGTTTATCCGACGTAGTTGATGCCGTTTTTTTTTTCCTTGTAACTTAGGGGTGTGTGGCTAATCGAGAGAGTTTGTGTTGCCCTACAACCCTAGCATAAGGGAGTACGAGATCAAATGAGTTCTGGTACGAGGACTAAACGCTTGGATTTAACGTTTTTTTCCGTTTGTTGAAGGGGGGGTGTAAACAATAGGAGTGTGGTTGGGTAGATCATAGGCAGTTTTTTATGAGATGTGTAGTTGTTTTTAAAAGTTGGTTCTCATAGGTTTTCGCAAGTGTGCTAATTGATTGATTGTTTTCCTAGCTAGAGCCAGGTAATGCGCCCGGAACTTCAATTGTGTTCTATATTCTCAGTCGTACTTCAAAGGGACGCTGAGCCCGGTTCTCAACACGTAGTGCTCCCCACGAATAAATTGGAGCTTTT